ATGTTAGGTTGGGACAATCAGAAAGGTGGGTCCTTTTTCAAAAGATGTTTGCTTGTCCTAAATACTGTAGCTAATGGCATAAAAAGCGGATTATGCACCCAACCTACGTGATTTTTTTTTTTTCTTTTTTAGATGAGCTTGTAATAATTGGGAAATTTCGACCCCACGGCTTCATCACCACCACACGATGTAGTATGTGTAAATGTCTGATCGTGTGGTGTAGAAAATTCTGTGGATAGTAAGGTCAAAATTTCCTAATAATTTTTTTTTTTTGGTAACAAAAAAAGAGATTAAAACACTAGGCTAACACTCGACGGGGATATGACACCCCTATATTGTCGTGATCAATCCAAGAGCCTAGTCCGGTTGGTGGGGATGCCAAACGATGAAGACCAATCGGATATGAATTCGCTAAGCTCGCCAAGTGATCCACCGCAAAATTAGCTTCCCTATATATGTGTTGGATATTAAGACTCCAATCTTTTTGAATCAACTCTCTAATAGCTCGAATCAGTGCAGCATGCTGTGGCATCGGCGTTTATTCACATAAAGTATTTAAGTTGGTCTTTTTTTTTTCTTTTTTTTTTTTGGAAATATCATTTTGGAATTTGGAAGTGAAACCTTAGATAGTCACCAAGAGCAATTTCTGAAGTTATAAAGCCTATAATAAAATTTCAGTATAGGTGGTGTTGTTCAATTAAAAAATTGGCCCCTCACAATATAGTAAAAAATAAAAATGATATTGCTATTATTTATCCCTTTAGATTTAAAGCAAATCAAACACCAATTTGCCCTTTTGTCTAACCTGTGTTTAGAGATTCTAAAAGTTCTTCCCTTTTCTCCCAATTATTGTTCCTTTGACTTTGAGCATCTCGATTTTAATTAACATGGTGCAAGTTCAAAACTTTTTAAGTTTCATGTATTGTGTGTGTGTGTGTGTGTACATTTGTGCTGTCATGTAAAAATAGAGATTGATGTGTATATTAATATGATAAACTCTATTCCTATAATAAGTCTATTTTCAATGGGAGGAGGATAATTATCTTTCAAGTGGAAGAAGGGAAAAGCAAAAGGCCCCAACTTTGTGTACAATGTGAAATACCCCTCATCATCCAGCTACATTGTTGTTTATCAATTTAAGATCAGGACGAGTAATGCTACAAGTACATAATATTGCACATAAGGGTGCACATAACACTCGCAATGAGTGGGACCCACCAAAAAAAAAATCAAGTGAACTCCCACTTCATGTGAGTGTTATGTACACCTCTATGTACATTTATTATGTACTTATAGCATTTTCTAGAATGAAAATATCATCATGGTAGCTACATGTAACTCAAAAGTAATCAAATTTAGTCCCACCAAAATTTGGGTCACTCCAAACAGAACCTAATAAGTAATGTAACCTTCATAGCTTCAAACTTTCACCAAGGTTTAATAATGGTGGAGGGGCCTCATATGGGAAAAAAAAAAAAAAGAAAAGGACCAAGAAAGAGGTAGGTAACAGCCTTTTCTTTAGGACAAACTCACAGGTCTTAGTACTATACCTAAGCACATGATGCCCACAAAAAGTTAATTTGCACACCATATTTTGCCTACTTCCATTAGGATATTCAATTTTATTTATTTATTTATTTATTTATTTTTATTTTTTTTATGGGAAACATGTAGAATACATGTTTTGAGCTTTCAACGAGTATTCGAAGGGTATTCTCCGGAAGAAATCAAAACAAACGTTGGACTCGAAATCACTATTATAAATATGGGGAGATGCTACGGTCCGTTACGGAACCATTCCGTCGACGTTCGTAACCGTTAGATCATCATGTAATCATCGGGGATAAATGATGTAACGGTTACAAATTCCGACGGAATTGTTCCGTAATAGCACCATAGCATTTCTCATACATATGAACCTATAAAAAATTATCATTTTTAGTATATAATTCGAAAGAAATTGTTCCATGGACGAGGAGTAGATAACGTTCGTATGGAAATAAATTTACACACCGTTCCATAATTCAACATCAAAACGATGGAGCCAAATTTGGGCCATGACAGTTATGGAAAAGTTAGGTAAAAATAATAATAATAATAATAATAAACACATGAATTGCACACAAGTGGGTACCTCTCTTTCTTTCTCTACCCCCTTCAAATCACAAGCACAAATTTTTGTTGAGATGAACAAAAATCAATAAGTGTGGTTAGGTCTACTTATGAAGCACATAAAAATATATTGAAATATGAACGGACCATGAGTCAGCTTAATGATTAGGCGTGTCGACTCGTCATAATATTTTTTAGATAAAAACGGTGCTCTTATATGACTCATTTGAATGGTTAGATAGTATTGGTTCGTGCGTCAAAATATTATTTGACTTAAAATACGGTGTTCTTGCACGGATCGGATTAATGATTAAGCGTGTCAACTCGTTACAGCACCTATAGAATAAAAAATGCATGAGTATGTAAATACACATAAAAAATCATGGTTTGGAAACAAAATTTTTGATGCCTAAACTTGGCACCACAATGTTATATGGACTAAGGCAAAAGGGGAAAAAAAAAATGACCAAACAAAGATGAAGTGGAAGAAGGTGAACAAGAGCCCACACACACAACTACACTCAATTCTTTTAGCTATTTCTTTGTGTTATATTGATTTGCACCCAACTCCTTCTAGAAGCCTTATATAACAAAATCTACTAGTATAAAATAACACGTATATTGTGTGTTAGAATATCACTTGTGAGTTGTCCCACATCGTTTATACATGAAAAATGGACCCACCTTATAAGTCTAATGGGCTACTCCTCCTTCCACCAATTGGTTTTGGGATGAAACTTCATTTGGGCTTCATATGAGCTTTTCCTTCTCATGGTGCGCTTCATGTTAGTGGGACCGTACTCCTTTTCTCCCAGTTTCTTACATGGTATCAAAGCCGGTTCTGTTGGGACCGTGCGATGACGTACCCATTTATGGGAGTCTGCTTCCCCACCCCTTTTCTCTCAGTTTCTTACATGGTATCAGAGCTGGTTCTATTGGACCGTGCGATGACGTACCCATTTATGGGAGTCTGCTTCCCCACGTACCCGTTTATGGGAGTCTACTTCTAGTAGGCTTGGGACACCCAATTGGGCTTGGGCTTTTGAAGGACTCACAAGTGAGGGGGCGTGTTAGAATATCACTTGTGAGTTGTGAGTTGTCCCACATC